AAAAAGAATTCCGCTTCCTTTAAGACGGCAGTGCAGCAATTTCCTAACAACTATGATCATATTCTCATCACATTTAACAAGCTTATAAGCAGACTGGAATATCTATAATTATTCTTCAAATATATGATGATGATCATTTACTAACAGAGAAAAAGAATCAAACACAGCAAAAAGTGAAGTACCTGTGCAGCCTTCAGGAAGATATGGGTTCCCCTCGTATCCTTTAGTACAGTTACATCTATATCCTCCATGACCGGTATCAGAATCAACGCAAATGCTATTCTGAAAACATGTATAATCACTGGATTTCACAGCTTCACTGCAATTCTGTTTACCAATTGCCCACTCAAGAACCATAGGCACTTTATCAACTGCCTTGTCCCCAAATTTAGTATCGTTGAGGCCGACCGTAGTGAATCTGAAGCTGTCAGGATCTCCAAGAAAGGCAAACCCACAAGGGTTGAAGGACATAATATCAACGTGGTTGTTGAAAGAGTTAATGCTTACAACAAACTTCTTGAGACCCTTTGGGATGGCAGTTTGGCAACACCCAACACCAGAACATTTCCCTTCAACCAAATCCTCTCTGTTGGAACACACAGACACACACCCGTTTGTGAAATTACGTCCTTCCAGTCCAAATATTACCCCCAGTTCATCACACCCCAATACGGTGAACTTGTTTGCATCCGAAAAAGTAAAAGGCATACCCGAAAGATCGATGTCCGGAGGCTGGTTTTCGCTCGTGGTGTTACCTAGTTGGTTGTAGCATTTTTTGGCCACGAAGTTCTTGATTCTTACACTGTCATCTCTGATTTCGAGAATTTGTAGGTTGAATGTGGAGATGTAGGGCTTTGGAGGATCGAATGTATCGTCGCACTTGACATCGAACGATGGGTTTAATGAACAACCTGATCGTAAGCCAATGCCAAAAGGATATGGAATTGTTATGTTCCCACATTTCGACTCGCAATCGCCTGTTGCAGCCAAAGCCAATGGAACAACAGCAAGCCAAAACAAGAGAGAAAGGAAAGCATACTTCAGAGACATATTTCTGTTTGTCAACTGAAAATACAGATGGATGCCTTCATCTTCTTCTTCATAATTATAGTATATATCTCAATAATTATCAGCTTACAAAATCAGAATCATTTAATTTAATTGACCTTTTCTTTTATGAATTGATATATGAGTTGTGTGCAGCATTAAGTCATTAAATATTGTATTTGTGCAAACACCAACTGTTTTTCAGGAATCTAAAGGGGCATGAAATGGTGTAGTAGTGGCCATTGTATATGTTCTAATTACGACCATATCCATAAAAGACAACCCCATACTGATACATACATCATAGCAGATAAAACCTCCTTCTCCTCTTTCTTAACTGTGATAGAGTAATAACAAAGAAATTGAGGGGGTTGACTTGATTGATAACAAGAGCTGCATTTTTCATGTATAATATTACCAAGTCCTGGAAACTTACACATCATCTTCGTATTTTTCGACACTGATAATTTTCTTCGCCTATGTAATCACATACTAACGTGCGATACGTCACATATTAGTATAATTTGAACAAGTCATTCTGAATTTAAAATTATCGATCGAATTATTCGCATAATATTTTTTTTAATGAATATCAATGATGTAAATGGAAAATGAAGTTGCCATTGACCTGCAGGCTGTAACCACACTTGTTTGCAACCAAATCCCAACATCACATCAAATTGTCTACATCTCATTTTCATAAGTTATACGACCCATTCTAAAGCCGCAGAATGTGCTCACGACGAATAATCACGATTCTCCTGTCTTGTCCTGCTTGTTGATCATATTTGTTTTAAGTCAATTTTATATTTTTAAGATTGCTACCCTGGAATTTTGATGTAGTAGTTGACAAATGACAACAATCATTTTATTACACTACTCTTTGTTTGTTTATAACTAACTAATGAGGTGAACTTATAAAGTTCTTTCTTGCCTTTTCGTATTTCTCCTGTAATATAAAATACATATTAATATTGATTTAAGTGTTATTTTTGAGAAATGTCATTTTCAGAAATATTTTTAAAAATTGAAATCGGGATCTAATATGTATTTTAATTTCATTCCAAAACCATCTAATATGTATTTTAATCGGGATCTAATATGTATAAATATTTTCAGAAATATTTTTAAAAATAAAATATATTTATTGCCCACAAAATTAGATACACTCGGATGAAAATCGATAAAATCCAGATATATATTTTGAAACCATAATAATCCAATAAAATCACCTCAACCAGGCTCTAACTAATCTAATCCCAAGATATTGGAAAATTGGGCCTATCGATATGAAATGGATTTGGGCCAAATGGAAATGGGTTTAGCACGTTAGTTTTGATGTTAATTGGACTCGAGAGATATACCAAATAGGCAAACACACTAAAATTAATTATTTCACATTCATGGCAAAGGGGCCGGGGGTTCACTCCCAAAACCCTACTGCAAGGCGAAAACCACATTATATAAAGCACACAACACCACAACTCACCTCACTCATTCACACAACAGCCCACCTCAAACCCTTATTCATCTTCCACGCCTCTATCACTTGATAAACCCTAATTCCATTATCTGCGATTTTAATTCAAATTCGTACGTTTCTGTCCTCAATTTATCTCAATTCTTTCAGCATGACATCTGTTTTGTTTTAACTTTTTTTTTTCGACACGAATTAATGATTGTTTTGGATTATGATTGGTGAAGGTTGAAACCATGTCTGATGAGGATATGGAGGAGAAGGAGTTGGATCTCACCTCTCCTGAAGTAGTCACCAAATACAAATCCGCTGCCGAAATTGTTAACAGTAGGTGTTTTTTTGGCCTCATTTTTTCTGTGTGTAAATGTTAAATTGTGTTCAAAATTTTAATAAATTTATCGGAAATATTTAATCTCTAATTGTTTTTTGTTTTTGTGTGTGTTTCTTAGTTAACTTTTATGTTTTTCTGAAAATAGATTTCTTGAATTTGTGCAGAGGCACTTCAGTTAGTATTGTCTGAATGTAAACCGAAGGCCAAGATTGTTGACCTTTGTGAGAAAGGAGATGTTTACATCAGAGAGTGAGTAGTCTCAACATACCCTTTAATGAAAAAATGGACACTGAAAAATAACTTCTCAATATTATAGAGACAGATATATGAATTGTTCTTAAATCTTGTATCTGTAACAGACATTCTGGGAATATGTACAAGAATGTGAAGAAAAAGATAGAAAGGGGTGTTGCATTCCCAACTTGCATATCAGTTAACAATACAGTCTGCCATTTCTCCCCATTGGCCAGTGATGAGACCGTTTTGGAAGATGGAGATATTTTGAAAATGTATGTTTATAATCGAACCTTTGTGGATACAAAATGATTTTGGGACACATACTGTGTTTAATATATTTTTATTTGCATTCTTACCAATTATAAATTTTGATTGCCAGTGATATGGGCTGTCATATAGATGGCTTCATTGCTGTAGTTGCCCATACCCATGTACTTCAGCAAGGACCAGTCACAGGCAGAGCAGCTGATGTTATTGCTGCTGCAAATACTGCCGCTGAGGTTGCCTTGAGGCTTGTGAGGCCAGGGAAAAAGGTATATACTTCTTAATTCTTTGCTTGTTGTGTTAATGTGATTTTGTTCAGTATATATGCAGTGCGCAATTTTGTTCGTTATGGTTTATGAAGTTTGTGTACGAGCCTATAGTATATATTGAAATCATTAATCTGATACCTGAAGTAAATGTAAGTGTCAGTTAGGGGTAATTATTTGTTTGTTCCTTGCAACTGTATGGGACTATTGCAGTGGAGGTGTTAGATAGTCAATTTCTGGATAATGTTATAATAAGTTATCTTTTTTTGGAGTTCTTGATTATTCTTATAAAAGAGTTTATGCTATTGTTGTTCTTTCGCTGTTCATTTTAGCCACCCTATATGATGAACACTTTGAATTAGCTATGGGTTGATATCCATATGATGCTTTAGTCATAGTTACTCTGATAGGGGATGTCATTTGTTTGTATTTTAGTGCATATTTGATAGCGTCTAGTGTTATTTACATGATATTTCCCTATTTCCCTGTTGAGGTATGTAGGCAACTTTGCCGAGGTGATTGTCATTGTTAATCTCCTCTTTTTCCCTGTTGCCTATATTTATTGGCTATCTTGAACTTTTGGGATGGTGAATTATTTTTCCATCCCTTACTGGTTAGCCAACATTGCACATAATACTGAAATAACTTTAGGTTTATGATTAAGCGGTCACATTTGCCTTTTGCATTTCCACTGTCACTTCTGTTGAGATGTTGATCATCCTAATATTTTTGTTTTGATACATAGGCAACTTTGCCGAGGTGATTGTCATTGTTAATCTCCTCTTTTTCCCTGTTGCCTATACTGATTGGCCGGCATGAACTTTTTTGGGGTGGTGAATTATTTGCCTGCCCTTTCTTGTTCGCCAACATTGCACATTACACTTAAATAACTTTTGGTTTCTGATTAAGCTGTCTCATCTACATTCTGCAGTCCCACTTTCACTTATGTTTAAGATGTTGACAGTGCTAATGTTTTTGTCGAGATACGTAGGCAACTTTGCCGAGGTGATTGTCATTGTTAATCTCCTCTTTTTCCCTGTTGCCTATATTTATTGGTCGGTTGGAATTTGTTGGGGTGGTGAATTATTTTGCCAGCCCTTGCTTGTTGGCTAACATTGCACACAATACTTCAGTAACTTTTGGTTTCTGTTTAAGCTGTCACATTTACGTTTAGCATTTCCACTGTCACTTATGTTTAAGATGTTGGCAGTGCTAAATTCTTTTGTCGAGATACATAGGCAACTTTGCCGAGGTGATTGTCATTGTTAATCTCCTCTGTTTCCCTGTTGCCTATATTGATTGCCAGCTTTTATGTTCGGGATGTCAAATTGTTTTGCCAGCCCTTAATGGTTGGCTAATATTGCACATAATACTGAAATATCTTCTGTGTACTAATTAAGCATTTACATTTGCTTATGCATTTATTGTTTTTTTTTGTGTTCTTTCCAGATTATTTGTTTACAATAATCTAGTTTTACTTGAATTGAATATAGTTTTACTTGAAAGTCTAAAACCTGTCTTAGAAAGCAAGCATGATTCTCTACATGATGATAATACTCTTAGAGCGATGGAGTCTTCCAATGACGTTCTATATAGTCATAGTTACACTGATAGAGAATCATGTTTCCTTTACTCATAATTTTGGAAATTAATATTTTTTCATTCTTTAGTATTTGTTATCTAGATTGCTGGCACTTTTGTTACTAGTTAACAGAGCATGGTGTGGTGCGATGTTAGGCCAAATGCCTTGTGAATGGTTAATGTATAGTCTCTAACGCAGAATTAGCTCATATAATTTGGCATTGAGTTCAAATTCAAGAATGTAGTTGTTAACCAAGACAGTTGAAACATTATTTGTTATTTCTTGTTCTTATTGTATTAAATGTCGTATTTGTGATCGGTAATGCAATTTGTCTGGGTATCAATTGCTATTGAATATGCTAACAGTTCTTTTTTTCGTGGTTGGTAGAACAAGGATGTCACTGAGGCAATTCAGAAAGTTGCTGCTGCTTATGACTGCAAGATTGTTGAAGGGGTTCTAAGTCATCAAATGAAACAATTTGTGATTGATGGAAACAAGGTTGTATTAAGTGTGTCGGGCACTGATACAAGAGTTGATGAATCAGAATTTGAGGAAAATGAGGTGTATTCCATTGATATTGTTACAAGTACTGGTGAAGGCAAGGTAATTTTTCACCTTTTATTTCCACATCATTTCGTTCATGAAATTTGGTTGGGAGGTAGGTAATTAAATAATTATTCGGAATTTGCAGCCAAAATTATTGGATGAGAAACAGACGACAATCTATAAAAGAGCAGTTGACAAGAATTATCACCTAAAGATGAAAGCATCCCGATTCATATTCAGCGAGATAAGTCAGAAGTTCCCAATCATGCCATTTTCTGCAAGGTGTGTTATATTTACACTTTCATGCCTTCTTGAGGCATATGAAACTAGTGGGGACTATTTCCCTTTATGCTAAAGTAATGAGTAGGATGATTGTGTAACAGGGCTTTGGAAGAGAAGCGTGCTCGTTTGGGTCTAGTAGAATGCGTAAATCATGATCTTTTACAGCCATATCCTGTACTTCATGAGAAGCCTGGTACTGGTTTTTTATGTTGTTTTGCGTCTGATTTATACCCAATTATTTTATTTTCATTGCTAAAGTCAAAAACGTATTGGCAGGGGACCTAGTTGCTCATATCAAGTTTACTGTATTGCTAATGCCAAATGGGTCGGATCGAGTCACAACTCATCCTCTACAAGAGCTACAACCCACAAAAACAGTTGATGATCCGGAGATTAAAGCCTGGTTAGCATTAGGTACTAAAACGAAGAAGAAAGGTGGTGGGAAGAAAAAGAAAGGTGCGCTCAGAATCATTATTTCACCCTAGTATTTTTTGTGTTCAGGCTTGTTGATAAAACAAAATGTTGTTTGCAGGTAAGAAAGTGGAAAAATCCGAGGAAGCAGCTGATGCTGAGCCTATGGACACTGGTGCAGCTTCTCAAGAATGATGAAAAATCAGTTTTTATTTGTATTTCAACCATGAAATTTTGGCCGATACCTTGTATTGGGTTTTGCTGTGAGTCGTGAAATGTGAATTCTTAAAAATACTATCAGATGCGTCTTGTAATATTGTACACAGCTTTGTTGACTTGTGTATTTATTTAGTTTTAGATACAAAAAAGAAACTAACAGCTATCTAAATGGTTGATCATCACAATTGAAATTTTAGAATCATTGAACATATGCTTTCGCATGACAATAAATATTCAAACGCTGGTTACAACGATTGGGTAGTAGATGGTTATGGATGAAAAAAGTGATGCCAATTTTATTACACCATTTAGTAATCCGTTACTTTTTTTAAAGAACATTTCAATCAACCTGTTATTCTCAACAACAAATAGACCTTCCTTAGTAAATTAGTTAATGATACATCAAACGTGGCTGTAGTTTGTATAGGGAGACATCAAATAAGATGGTTTCACACATATTAGCAGACACCAATGACGAATAATGCATAAATGAATATACACCCATACTTGAGATGTGATTATTGGCTAACAAATTGCACTGTTAAAAGTATTATTAGCGATATTGAATAGAATATGCAATACCTTTCTTTTTTATAAAAATTATAATATATTTTTCCATCTAAATTTCGCAAAACAAAATGGTAGCATATAAATACGGAAATTGAGGAACAGATAGGATAAACAGTAATCCATTATGAATCATTTGTGAATTGTGGCAGCCCAGAAACCATGTTAGGCCCATTCATTAAAGATAAAAGGGCTGCTATAAATAATAAATCAAACCCTAGGGTTTTATCATTGCCAGTAGTATTCAGCACAAACTTTACCATCTAGGGTTCTGAAAGGCGCGGAGACATTCGGAGTTTCTCTTTCTTCTGAACAATGAGGGCTAAGGTATGAGATGCCCTGAGTTCTACTACGCTTATACTAATTTGATTGTATTTTTACTGTAATAAATAATTAAGTTATTCTAATTTTTGGGTTACAGTGGAAGAAGAAGCGTATGAGGAGATTGAAGAGGAAGCGCCGAAAGATGAGGCAGAGATCTAAGTAATCTCCTTTTTTTTTTCAGTTTGGCGTTTCTAGCTTTTCCTTTTTTATTTATTTATTTATATCTATGCTGCTTTCGATTTCGTGAATTTTGATATGTAGCACTACTTTGTTATATTTCAGAACTACATTTTGTGGATGAACTATTTAATCAGTTGAATTTATTGTCATTATTGAGTTTAACTTTTGTTCCTTACATTCCCGATTTTGCTTTGTTGGTGATATCATCATCATATATATGTATCTGAATTATGACTGCGATGATTAATTTTATATTTTGATACCACTGTGATTTGATTTCTCCTAGAAAGCGGTCATGTTTAGAATTATGACAATTTTTTTTTGAATAAGTTGTCTTTGCCGTGTCCTTTTTAATGGAACTAGTAGATGTGTTCAGTGTCCTCAGTGTGGACGAGAGTATATAGGATATTAATCCTGTGCTTGGATTAGGCTTTGTTCTCTTTTGATCAAGATGGAGCTGTGAATTATACTCTTTGTAAGAGACTTGTCATACATATGGAATTTGCTGCATTTTTTATTTTTCTGCAAGCAAATTTAGATTGAAGATGAATTTGCTTTATGCTACTTTAGATTTAGACCAAAATTTGCTTCATGCTACTTCTACATTAGTGTTGAGTCATTTCAGCATTTGAGGGCACTATCTTTAGATGAAGATTAGTTGTGGCCTAGTTATTTTGCTCCTCTGATCTTACATGCTCTAATATATTCCACTTTTTTTATTTTGACAATCAAATATGCCAAAGCTGGTAGCTTTTAATAATTTGAATTCTACATGTTTATTGATTATTTATATTTTTAATATGTAACATTCATTATTTCTGCCATTATTGGACAACTTTTCTCAATGTAGATTACTATCTATCTAAATAAAATACACGTATTTTCTTGAGATTTGTTTGCCAACTTGTCTAATTTTAGTAGGATTGTACTATTTAGCGTCACCTTCTCGCCAATTAATAAAGAAAGAAGGGCATGTAGAATTAAGTTAATCATCATAACCAAAGAAAATGAAATTAGACATTTGATCAAGTTGGTTGTAAAGTTAATGATTTTGTATACCATTATTCTTCTTCTCTAATAAATAATCAACATATATAAATTGGTAGGTTCCTTAGTTTTTTCAGTCAATCAAGAAAGGGAAGTGGACAATCCACTACTGGAAACGTAGTTTGACACGCCTTTGTGATGACTCCGTAATATCAAATAGAAAAATCAAATAAAAGGGTTTCTAGTTATAATAATAAGTAGATGCTAATTAGTCCAAGTAATAATTAAACAAGATGAAGTTTCCTTATGCTCCCAAATATGGAGTATGCACATGCAATTGATTTATGAACTGCGATTAAGTGAACTTTATAAGTTAGGTAAGCTCACCAAATCTGTACTAAGCACCATTAACAACAACTTTTGACATCATAATGTTATTTCTATTAAATTTGTTAGACATGTGTATGGAAAGGATAAGGAAGTCGATTGGTCGAAGAGAGAGAGAGAGAGAGAGAGTAGGGAAAGAAGCCAACTCACACAACACAACACATTATTTATATAATAATAATAATAATAATGTATAGCAGCCAAAAAAAAAAAAAAAAAATGGAAGTCAGTCTTTTGTTTGATTCTATGTCACACAGTGCATAAGAATAGCTCCCAAAGTCAATCCCATGCTATAAAAAATAAAAACAACGCAGGGCGGTGTGGCCCACAGTAAGCGCGTTGAATACTCTTATGTCTGTACAAAATCCCCTTGTCTATTATTATTACACAGAAAAACATATACATATTTTTGTTTTTTAATCTTGGTACAACTCCTTCTTCCAACTATTCCCTCTTTCTGTGTCTTCCCTAAATCTCAAGTTATTCAATTCCAAGAAAGGCGTTGTTGTTGTTGATGGATTATATTCCCACAATACATTCATCACTTATGGGTGTTTCTTGCAACTTGCTACAATTATGAAAATCCACCTCCTCTCTTCTCTTTTTTTCATGTTCTTGTTCCATCAAATCTTGTCTTGTGTTATTCTGGGTGTTTCTGGACAATGCCTCAATGATCAAAGGTCTTTGTTGCTGCAGTTGAGGAACGACCTTGTCTTCAATCCCGCCTTCTCCACCAAGCTTGTGCAATGGAACCAGAGTGTTGACTGCTGCAAATGGAATGGCGTACTGTGCGATACTAATTCTGGAGGACGTGTCATCTCTTTGGAATTGGACAACGAGTCCATTTCCGGTGGCATCCATAATTCAACTGCTCTTTTCGGCCTTCGATACCTTGAAAAGCTCAATTTGGCATTCAACAGCTTTGCAAGTATTCCAATTCCAAAGGGGCTTCAAAATCTCACCAATTTGGCGTACCTTAATCTGTCGAATGCTGGTTTTGGTGGGCAGGTTCCTGTTGAGATTTCCACAATGACTAGTTTGGTTAGTCTTGATCTCTCCAACTTGTTTTCAGGCGCTGATCCCATTAAACTCGAGAATCCTAATTTGAGGACCCTTGTTCGGAATCTTACAGGGCTCACTGAGCTTTATCTTGATAATGTCAATATTTCAGCTCAAAAAAGTGACTGGGGTCTAGCCTTGTCTTCTTCTCTACCCAAATTAACGAATTTGAGCTTGCGCAGCTGTCTTCTTTCCGGCCCTTTGGATTCTTCTCTTTCGCACCTTCATTCTCTTTCGGTTATCCGGCTCGACGGCAACAATCTGTCAACAACAGTTCCAGACTTCTTTGGTACTTTCTCCAATTTGACGATTTTAACCCTCAGCAGTTGCTCGCTCGAAGGTCCCTTTCCCGAGACTATCTTTCAGGTACCCACTCTACAGAGACTGGATTTATCAAGAAATATATTGCTCAGCGGTACCATATCACATTTTATTCCTAACAGTTCTTTAACGACTGTGGTCCTTAGCTACAGTAACTTCTCGGGTTCATTACCAGATTCTGTTAGCAATCTTGAGATGCTGTCCAGAATAGACCTGTCCAATTGCCAGTTCAGTGGATTGATTCCATCCTCACTGGACAAACTAACCCAACTCGTTTATCTGGATTTCTCGTTTAACTCCTTCACTGGTCCAATCCCACTGTTTCATAGGGCCAAGAAACTCTCTTATATAGACCTCAGTCGTAATTCTCTTACAGGCTCTCTTTCTTCTGTTCATTTTGACGGACTCTCGAGTCTTGCAAATATAAATTTAGTGTTGAATTTACTCAATGGGAGCATTCCCCCGTCTCTGTTTGCCCTCCCTTCACTACAGAAACTTCAGCTTTCCAACAACAGATTTAGTGGCAAAGTCGAGGATTTTTCGACGTCGAATTCTAATCTCGACACACTAGATTTGAGCAGTAACCGCCTGGAAGGTTCTATCCCGGAATCTTTCTTCCTACTTGAACGGCTGAATGTTCTCTCACTTTCTTCAAACTCGTTCAATGGAACTGTGAAGCTGGAAAAGATTCAAATGCTTCGCAACCTTACAAGACTAGAACTTGGGCACAACAATTTATCAGTTGATGCAAGCACCACTAGTTTATTCCAATTTCCCCAGCTAAGCAGGTTAAATCTAGCTTCTTGCAAATTGTCAGAGTTTCCCAATTTGGCGAACCAATCCAAACTGACAGTTTTGGATCTTTCGAACAACCTTATTAAGGGAGATATACCGAGTTGGATTTGGAATATTGGGAATGGAGGACTCTCCCAGTTGAATCTTTCCTATAATCTCCTTACAGGTCTCCAAAAGCCTATTAATATGCCTTCTTCTCTAGGTGTACTTGACCTACACTCAAATAGGCTCCAAGGTGAGTTTCCATTGCCCTCAGTAGCATCTATCTATGTAGATTACTCGAGCAATAACTTTCAAGAGACGATTCCGCTTAACATTGGCACCTTCACTTTCTATGCTCTATTCTTCTCTCTTGCAAACAATGGATTTACAGGAACAATTCCTCAATCTCTTTGCAATTCAACTTACCTTCAAGTTCTAGACTTTTCCAACAACAAGCTCAATGGTAGTATACCACTTTGCCTGCTGGAGAATCTCACTAGTCTGGGGGTTTTGAATCTCGGGAGAAATCATATCGCTGGTGATATACCGGATACATTTTCTGTCAACTGCAGTCTCAAGACTTTGGACCTCAGTAATAACAACATAGGGGGGAATATTCCACCGTCCTTAGCCAATTGCAGATCTTTAGAGGTTGTGAATGTTGGGAACAACAACTTTGATGATGGATTCCCGTGCATGCTTAAAAATTCATCCAGCTTGCGTGTTCTTGTTCTGCGCAACAACACATTTCACGGTGAACTAAGATGTTCTATGGACAAAGAGAGTTGGTCGAATCTTCAGATTATCGACATAGCTTCCAATAACTTCAGCGGTGAACTATACCCAAAATACATCACGAGTTGGAAAGGAATGATGCTAGACAATGATGCACAGCCGAGGCGCAACCACCTACGCTTTGCGTTTCTGAATCTGAGTAACTTCTACTACCAGGACACAGTGTCGGTGACCATGAAAGGCCTGGAACTGGAGCTTGTCAAGATTCTGACAGTCTTCACAGCCATTGATTTTTCTTGCAATAACTTGAGCGGGGAGATACCTGAAACAGTTGGAAACCTCAGTTCACTTTACGTACTCAACTTATCTCACAATGCTCTGTCAGGCGTAATTCCAAGCTCTGTTGGAAACTTGAAACAGCTAGGATCGCTGGACCTCTCTACGAACCAGCTAACAGGGGAAATACCAAACGAACTCACAAGTCTCACGTTTCTTTCGTTCTTGAATCTGTCCTACAATAATCTAGTTGGGATGATCCCAACAGGTACTCAAATTCAAACGTTTTCTGCAGAAAGCTTTGCAGGAAATCCAGGGCTATGCGGGTTTCCTCTTAACACGAAATGTGGCTCTAATCGGCCGGATTCAGAATCAGTGGCAAGCTTGAAAAGGATAGAATTTGATTGGCAATCCATATTCACAGGTGTTGGATATGGGTTGGGAGCGGCGTTAGTAATTGCTCCTCTTGCATTCTGCAAGGAATGGAGGGAAGAGTGCAACGATAAATTCGATAAATTTGTGAAGCAGATGTTTCCGAGATACGGATTCAGTTACATAAGGTATGATGGAAAGGTTGAGGCGGTGGAAAAAGTCGAAGATGGGATGACAGATGATGATGATGATGAAGACGAAGATGAAGAAGAAGACATTGGAGATGGATTAAGTAGGGGAAAGTACTGTGTATTTTGCACAAAAATGGACATTCAAATAAAGAAGGCGATGCACAATCCAAAATGTACATGTCATTTCTCGTCTCCCCCTACAGCATCTTCTTCTTCTTCTTCATCTTTACTAGTAAAATATCACTAGAACTATGGAATATATTTCATTTGTATAGAGATACAGATTACAGAGTCAGAAACAAAAATATTCTTTGAGATGTTTATGTAAGCTGAATTGATTACTTTGGTGAATATATACTGGAAACAAAAACAAAAAAAACGAAATGTTTTGGTAATGATGAGTCAGGTGAGTGAGTAATTATGTCGAACACCTGGTGCTCAAATATTGTTTCATGTAAGAGTTGTTTGAAGATGATGTAGAAAGAATAGACTCATATTATGAAAAATGAAAAGAAAAGGGAAAAAGGGGAAAAAGAAGAAAGAAAGATTGTGATGCATTTGGTGTTGGTCAAGAATCGTACCTGGTATTGAACAGAGAATGGTGAGTTGGTAGTACTAGACAAAGTAGAGTAGTGGGCTAGTGGGCTTCTCATGATGATATTAATTATTGGGCTTAATCTCCAATTCAACTGGATCATCACTTTCAGATCCATTTCCCGACTAATTGTCTTATTTCTCAACCAGATCCATTTTTTTTTTAAATAACTCTCGTATTAATATGTAACTTAAATTAAAGGGTTTATTAGGGATAACCCCTTGTTCATATTTTCTAATGAGGTAGATCCAATTTTTTTTCCCCTTTTTGAGATAGACCCAATTTTGCCAACTTGGCAAAATATATTATATGATTTTCCTTTAATACCCCTGTTTTATTTTTAAACGGCATTTATTTCCTTTACTACGTGATTTGAGATTTGCTGATACGTTGCCTAAAATCACGGAATAAAATTACGTGAGATCATTATATCAAATCGTGTACAATATTTTTCGAAGGTTCTCTTCAGCGTTCCAGTGGTTTTTTATCGTCTTTGAAGATATCTGCACCGTCGTTGAAATAGGATCGAATTTGAGCGTTCGTTGTTGGACGTTGTTAACCGGGTACGAATGCGTTATTCGTTTTTATTTTTCGCTCAATGTCTAGGGTTGTCGATTACGGTGGTTAGAAATTTTTAAGAGTTGTGTTGATACTTGATTCTATTAAGTAGAACGTTTTTTAACAAAATTATTCCGTCATATATACATCGTTATTTTTGGCGGATGATGTTTGTTTGGAAGATGATTGACAGACTTAGATGAGGATGGTTCACGCATATCGGACCAGAGTTGTTTTATATGAACATCGTAGTTGGTTTACGCATTAATTGAAATAACTGTCCGCTGACGTGGAGTTCATGAGTCTGATCCCGGTCGATAGTTAGTTTATTTGTTTATAACAGCGGATTTGAGGACGCTGGGTAGTACATTAAAATATATTTCGTAGTAATTTTTAAGTTATCATATGAATTTTGCATTTTAAGTTTATTTTTGATCATATTAATATATTTTTTAGTATTCTGCATTTTTAATGTCGTATCATATTAATATATACATCGTTATTTTTGGCGGATGATGTTTGTTTGGAAGAGGATTGACAGAGTTAGAAGAGGATGGTTCACGCAGATCGGACCAGAGTTGTTTTATATAAGCTTCGTAGTTGGTTTATGCAATAATCGGAATAATTGTCCGCTGTGGTCGAGTTCATGTTTTTGATCCCGATCGATAGTTGGTTTATTTGTTTATAACAGCCGATTTAAGTGTGCTGGGTAGTACATTAAAATATAGTTCGTAGTCTTTTTTCAATTAGCGTATGAATTTTGCATTTTAAGTTTATTTTTGATGATATTAATGTATTGTCATTCAAATGTATTTGCAGTCTATTTAATCATTTTTTAGTATTCTGCATTTTTAATTTTGTTTCATGATTTTAGGTTTTTTCGATGGCGAATTTCGTACGGATTTTGTTGAGGTTTGGTGGGTTGGTTGCTATAAAGAGGTGTTTACGATGTAATGGCTCGGTAACTTCGGTTAAGTTTTAAACCGTTGTAATACAGTAGTATACTATTATGAATACCGTATGATACTACCATTATCATTTTATTGTACTATTATGAGATTATTAATGTACTAGAGTTTTAACTCGACATATTGGTTTGATTGTGTTATGATGTGTTTTATGTATTTTATCAAAACCCTAGATTGAAATTATGAGATTATTAATGTACTATTTTATTGGTTATGTTGGAATACTTTACCTTGGTGTTGTTCTCAATGTTCTTGTCATTTCAGTGGTATATTATTTGTAACACAATTCATATCACTACTATAACCGTAATATACTATCATAGCAGATCAATGTACTATATTGAAATTATTAATATACTATGTGGTTGAATAATACGGGATCCATAGTCGATTAACGAGATCCATAGTCGAATTAGATCAATAAGATAGTCTATTACATGATATAAAGAAAATTACCCTAATTGATTAGTATTTCAAACAAACATATTATTCAGTTTCCATATATATTATTATTTTTCACATATATTATTATTTACCTTAATCGTTTTCATATAATAAGGAAAACTACTCTAATTGATTAGTATTTCAAACAAACATATTATTCAGTTTCCATATATATTATTATTTTTTCAATAGTCAATTAACTAAACCCATAGTCGAATTAGATACATGGGATAGTCTATTAAAAGATATGAGATAGTCTATTAATTTTAAAACACAAATCCGCCGCCGTCACTTCTCAAATCTAGGGTTTTGACGATTCTTCGGCCCATAGTCGATTAACGAGATCCATAGTAAAATTATACTAGTGGGATAGTCTATTAAATGATATGTGATAGTATATTAATACAGATGTAATTCGACTATGCATCTCGTTAATCAACTATGGGCCGAAGAATTATCAAAACCCTAGATTTGAGTAATCCTAGATTTGAGTAACCCTAGATTGGAGCAGTGACGGCGACGGCGACGGCGGCGGCCAACGACGATATCACTTCTGGTGGATGTCCTGCCAATCAATTGTTGCAATATCACTGATTTAGTGCTCGAATTCGGTATGCGATTATAACAGATCTGCAATTACGTACACAAACGTGATAGTCGATTTAGCCAAAACATATCAACAAATCGATGGATGATAGCGATTCAGCGAGTGGCGACGACGTACCTACGACAACTTGCTCGGAGTGCACGAAAATCGTCGTTTCACGGCAGTGAGACGTCTTCCCCTTTCAATCAGCCGTACCGGGAAGTTGTTATGGGAGGTTTTGCAGTTTATTCGATAGTGGGTTTGGGATGATAGTGATTTAACGGGAAAATATGAAGGGATTTGATTTTATTTCAAAAGGTAAAGTAACGGGTTTTGTGGCATTTGATTGAGGGTAATTATGTAATTATGAAAAGTTTGGGCTGTTATCAAAATGGCAAATATAAATTTGGGTCTACCCCTATTATTTGAATGTTTAAGGGGGTTATATCTAATAGACCCTAAATTAAATCCCGTAATTTAAAAAAAAAATGTAACTTAAATATAAAACACCAACCTGAAAATGTACAATGATCATTTAAGAAGAAACCCAAAAATCTTGCTAAAAAAATGTGACTAGGGGTATATATGTCCCTAAAAGGAAAAAAAAGATTAAAGGGATGACGGAGTCAAACTCGTGAGTCAGAGAGGGAGGCAGGTGGATTGACCCCAGCTCTACAAAGGGGACAAGTGGAACGAGTGATGAGCCACTTGTCAACGCAGTCGGAGTGAAAACCATGGCGGCAGAGTGGCAAAACCTTGACCTTGTCGCCCTCTTGAAACATGCTCAAGCAAATGGCGCAGTCGGCCTCGGCTGGTTCTGGGATCGGCTTCTTGTTCTTGCAGCAGCTGGTTGAGCCGTAGGAGAAAATGGGCAAACTTCCAATGGTGGCAGGGTCAAGGCCCGCCGTCCGAGGAGGAGGAGGTGCAGGTGGAGTGTTGGAATTGGGAGGAGTTTGGTGGCGGGTGCATATGTAAAGAAAGTAAAGGGAAAAGAAGGTGAAGAAGAAGAAGAAGAATAAGAAGAGTGCACCAAGAAGTGGGCTCTTGCCATCAATCTTTTCTTTTAGGTCTGTGAAATGAAGAGCCTCGAAATTCTCCGATGCCATTCTATCTATCTATGTCAACACATTTCACTCGATCCAGAAATCAAACCCAAATTAAAGAAGATAGACACTCGATCGGCCTCGTGTTTTTTCACAACGATAATAATAATAGTTGTAATAATAAAATAAAATAATATATATAGCTGGACGAAAAGCGTTTTGAATACGACGACATAAATGTGAGATTGGATACTGCTTTTATTGTAAAGCAACAATAATATTGATTTTATGCTTATCAATTTCACTTTTCATCTTTACTTTCTTTCTTTCTTCCTTCCTTTCTTTCTTTTTTTTAAAAAAAAAAAAAAGGAAATTAAGATTAATTATCCAGTGCTGTCTTTTATGGTTCTTTTTGGGGCGTGTGAAGAAGAAGAACAAGAACAATAAATCTTAGCAGCTTGCGTTCCGATGACGACATGATTGTATCGGAAATTAATAATTTGTACGTCCAACTGGATTTGTATTTCATACCATTTTCGATATTAATTTTTAACAACTAATTTTGTGAGGTTAATTACCATTTATTAATTACTAATTACTACCCCAATATAATAGATCAGAAACGAAAATAAAGCAAGCGCGTATTACAAAATACAAAATAATTAAAGATGCTTGATTTTTTCAAATTGAGGTATTACTCCACAATTATCAGAACCTAGCTACATATTAATTAGAGAGAAATATAAACATAGAATATTAATTAATAAATAATACTATTAATTACCAAGAAATAAAGGCATGGATGGATGGACGATCGATCAGCTTAGTAGGTTGAATGAAAGCATGCATAAATAAATATATATAGTTCATGAGTAGTAGTGGTGGTCTGATCTCCGGGCTGCACCATACATCTCGTCCTCCCATGATGAGTAATTATAATTATCCTCGTCAAAAGGGAGATGGAGATCATCATTATCATTATTATCATTAATTAATAATGAAGAAGAACAATTATTAATATTATTATTATTAATAACAGTTAAATTATAATTAGTGGGATCAGCATTAAGGGTGGTGGTGGTGGTGATATTATCGATCATGGAGTGGTGAAGCCATATCTGATTTTGTAGAAACTTGACGTACTGTATGGCTTCTTCAAGCATCGACACTGTGTCCATTTTCGAGCCACCTGGTACCAGGCTTTGCAATATCTTGAACCTCTCACTTATCCTGTGCCGCCGCTGCCTCGCCGCCACACTCTGAGGGTCTGTCGACAGCTTCCCCCCTCCATTCCCCTTATTCTTCTTCTTCTCCTTCTCCTTCTCCTTAGCGGCCGCAGCGGCGATTACTGAACTTGACTCGCAGGAACTAGGGTTTGACAAGGACGAATATGAATCCATTATATTTCTTGAGGGTTTCAATTACTTTCAAACATATAAATGTGCAGATTCTCGTTGAGAGGTAAAGTTACATATATATATGGGGTAAAATAAAATGGCAGTTAAGCATGTCATATTGTGATCATACATATATATACATAGCTAGTGAGATATTTCTTTTTTCTTTTTCTTTTTTTGTGGTTTCAGTTAACCGAAATGTTCAGCGTCGTTTCAATTATACTAATATCGTTTTGACTTAGAACGTAATTTTGACCCTTCTCTACTTAGAATTTGGTTAAATTCAAAAGACAGAAACTGTAGTACTTTGAGTTAGCTTTCTTATCCAATTTGAATCAGCTAGATTGGATGTTGTGCGATAAAGTTACACATAAATGAGTTACATTTTAAATTTTACATATAATTTAAAACATCAAAGTTGTGAGCAATGTTCATTGGTTCATGCATAACTTTCTAAACCGATATCCAATCTTGGTGATTCAAGTTATATTAGAAAGCTAACTCAAAGACTACAAATTCCATATTCTGAATTTTGCCAAATTCAAACTCGAAAATGATCAAAATCACGTTGGAAGTTGAAATGACATTATGAAAAACTGGAACGATATGTATCACATCCCTTTAGTTAATCATATTTTTTATCTAGGTTTTATACTTAACAAGTAATTATATGTGTTGATTAGACTGATCATTTCAAGGATTTCATTTTAAATAAATTTAGTAATTAATTTGGTTTTAGTTTAAATTTGATTTATATATAAATTAGGGTTAGAATATAATGGTGTGGGAGTGGGGCTAGTGTTGAAAAAGAAAGAAGTGGTTGGGTTGGGTTAGAAATGAAATGATGGCCCAAATCAGAATGGATATTCAATCATTCCCAATGTTAAAAAATAGGGGGGCCCCCCTAGGCCCTGCCCTCAATCCAATATATGTATTTCCGGGCCTTTTAATATTATTATTATTATTGTCCCTCTTTTTATCCCTACTCTAGTCAACTGTTTTCATTCAAACAATGTAACTATTGCAGACCAACATTCATAATTAATTTAAATATGGATACAAATTAATGAGGTTCCAATTTATTTATATATAAAAAAAAAAAAAAAACAACTCATTTGACTGTATATTGGTAATTGGTGCAGGCGATGGAAAGCACATGGGTTTCCGGCCGGGTGGGTAAAACCCTATTTGTAACTTTTAACTGTCTTCTCAATAGTCAACTACTCTTCAGCACTCATAAAATTAAATCATCATCATACCATATTTTTTACATAACACATGCACGCACGCATGTTTGATTTTATTTTTTCTAATATAAAAATTAATATTATGCAATCATCAAAACCAATATATTAGCTTGTCTTTATATATATATATATACACACACTAGTTACAGTAATGATGATTGATTTGATTAGACTTATTAATAAAGTATGAAGCCGAATTAAGATACATAAGAAAAAGCATGAGGAAGCCGATATGATCCATAGAGAATTGATTTGTTAGGTGAAAAAAGATGGAGTAGACATTTATGCAGTAGCACATTTAAATATATGGAGTGACGTAATTATTATGGGGGTTGATTCGGAGATAGATGCAGAATGCAGAATGAATGAATTAATTAATCGTCTTAATTCAAACCTGACAATATAAATGCATATGCATGTGACAGTACTACAGCAATATGTCCTTCATTTTTGTACTTCCATTTTAGTCCTTCACTGTAGGGGCCATATATACGCCCAATTAAATATTTGTAGGAAAATTAAAATACATGATGATGGAATTAATTGTCTAGTAGGCCTTAAAAGTTTCAAACGGGCCGGGCCGCGAAGAAGCTGGAAGTTGGAAAAGTATAAAGCCTTTTGGGCCAGGGCCCTTATTGAAAGTCTACCTGCAACTGCAAGTCAGCGGTATTGAATGAATATCCAAAAGTCAACAAAGGAAAGCAGCTGTATTGAATGAAATCCCAGAAAAAACAGAATAGCACGCTTCATAGTTGGTGGTGATGAAGAATTTGAATCGAAAGCCGGAAATGGGAAGGAGAAATGGAGTGATAGGGCTGGGATTGATGCCCGATCATTGGCCAACTACTTCTAACATCATCAATGTTTCATTTCCACTTCCCCCCCAATATCCATCTACCTCCACCACCCCTGCCCCTGGTATGTACCATTTTTATCCTCTGCACTCATTCCATTGTCTTTTTTTTTAATTAATAATTTGGTGGATAATTTTGGAGGATAAGGATGGGCAAACCAAAACCAAACCGAACATATATAGTTGTTTTAGTTTATTAGTTTTCTCTTCCTTAATTAGATCCACGTTGGTGACAGTATGTATTAGTTAATTTTATCATGATTTTTTGTTACAAGTTGGAAATTCTACTAATGTTGATCCTTTCTTGATGGGAATATGCCTGATTTTGCTATTCATTTTATTTCTATCTATTTCATTTGATTATGTTACTATCCCCTTGCCAATTATTATTCCAAGTATCTGGCTTCCTTTTGGGTCGTCGTGATGTTTATAATTCGTAAATTGTAATCGGTCGATCGGAGTGGCTTTTATGCTTTCTTTCCCAAAAGACTCATTCATGTGCCTGTGGTAGTAGTAGATATAGATATGACATTCAATGTTGAATGATCTGATTTTGAGAGGGAATGAATCTTTAGTTATATCATATATGTTTAAGTTTCATTTTACTTTCTCAAGGTTGTGTATAATCTGATATTCATTTACCAAAAAATGAAAATGAAATGATATAAAGCCTGAGACACACAAACTTTTCATGTTTACATGTAAACAAAAACAAGAAGATGAGCCGAAAAGCCAGGAGGAGGAAATCTCTAAAGGAGAGGAAGCTGTTGCTCAAGTAAGGAAAGAGGTTGACATCCTCGAGCATCAGGTATGTAATTGTTTTCACTTTTTTTAATTTCGTTTCATGACATGTGCCCATTTAATTAATTAATTAATTATTTTTCGATGGTAGGTATTTGCATTGCAAGTTGTTGTGAACAATGGAAGCAAAGTTGATGGCAAGGAAATAAGTTACTTGACTGAGATGCTTATGATGAAGTTGCTTAAATTGGATGGCATTGAAGCTGAAGGTGAAGGGAGAGCTCAGAGAAGGATGCAGGTTTTTGCTTTCATCCACTTTAACTCTCTACTCTTATAGTTCAAACATATGGCACAACTAGCTAGTATTATTTTCTTCTCATTAAGATTATTATATCCAGGTACGTCGGGTCCAGGGCATTGTCGAGAAACTCGATCTCCTAAAATTGAGAAACTCAAAGCTATGACATGTTTATTTATGCCTTGTATCCATCCTTTCATTATTACATCCTTTTACGAGTTTACCCTGAATTGGGGACTTGTGGTATATATAGTACATGTTTGGGTTGTGAGTCGTGAAATTTCTTATACCGGTCAGTGCATTCAATATTTACTATTATGTATTTGCTCAACTTGGATTATTGGTTCTGGAATCACTTTGTTGTAATGATATTTGATTTCATCATTGTACAAATCTCTTGTTTCTGTATGTTGCGCACCCATTTGAACTCGAAAACAAACGTAAGAGAATACATAATACTTATGTGGTGTTTGCAAACGCTTTTCCAAAGTGACTATGAGCTTTTTTTGGTTCAAAATCAGTTTTTTTTTAAACATTAAAAAACTCATAATCACTTTGGGTAACCGTTTGCAAACACTGCCTTAATCTATTACAAAGATTTACTTATGAGAATGGGATTAGGGGATTACAAGTTATCTAAGAACAAAAGAAACAAAAATTGGAAACTGAAGAAACAGACCAACAAAGAAGCTATGAACAATTCAACTCCAATGAATGTGGAAGCTCGGCTTTCTGTTACAGCTTAGTTTCCTATTGTCACGTTTCTCGTCCAAAAACCACCGACGATGGCTTCAACAGTTGAGCACAAAACACAAACAACTCTTTATTTATGTTTGTATCTTTTGTTTTCTTTGTCACTCACTCTAACAAAATTATGGTTCCCTCTTATTAGGAGATAGGATATTAGGAGATAAGTCATTGAATAGAAGCTGAAGCATAATTTCTTATTTAAACTCACATTTCATATAATACAATCATACATAACAAACCATGTGATCGCAAGTCACAACACAAGGTTAAAACAATCTTCGAACCAATGCCACTCTCAATTCCTTTAGTCCATCCACACAACAAATCTTATATCTACAAAACCAGTGGAATAATTAAGTAGATACAAATTCATTCTAACATTAAAAATTATAAATCAATAGTAACACCCCTAGCACTAAAAAGTCCAGTAGTTTGAGGCAAATCATGATCTGGATGAGATGGATTATGCCATCCGTGTTTAGCAGAGTCATATTTCTCACCATCACCCCAAAGAGCGTACGCTTCCTCACCATGGACAGCATCATCTCCAATCACGAGATGCTCGTCTGGCATGCGCAGAGGTATCACTATTTTGATTAGCAGCAGAATCACTGTTGTGGATATGAAGTTCCATCCAATGACAAATAATGCGGCTACTAATTGCTTAACGAATAGCATTCCTCCACCGTAAAAAGCACCCTTTGTGTTTGTTACTGGCAGAATCATGCTGCACAGTGTCGGCTCCGCAAACAGCCCTGTGAGAAGGCCGCCCAGTATTCCGGCCACAGCGTGTGTATAGAACACGGCCAATGTATCATCAACCTGCCATTAGTTAGTAGATTAAAGTAGATGATGATGTCAGAAATATTTGTTTAATATATCTTAGAGAATAAGGATGGGTAATTAGTATAATAGTTCATTAATTACAAGTAGTAATTGTCACGTGAGAATTGCATCGAGAAGGGAAATTAAGATGTGCATCATGGATATGATGAACTATTCCGAATGACGATGTGAATATCCCAATTAATTAGTAAGCATAAATAATGCAAGTGGGAACGTGCGTATCATCATGGATGAACATATTTGAGAATCCAATTTTAAATTGCTGAATTAGAAAAACATATACGTACGATCTGGACAGACTAAGTATTAGAAAAATAAATTAAAGATTTAGGAGGAGAAAATATCCTTATAAGTTGACCAAAAAAACATGTGCATAGTTAGGCAAGTTTCTTTTCTGAATAGTTGGTTAGTTGGTTGGTGTAAAGACAGACTAAAGAGTAAAGAGAGAGAGAGAGAAGGTAGTTCCGGGAAAGAGGTAGGTAGGTAGTTACCTTTTGAAGCAAAGTGGACTTTTTGTGAAGAATCATCATAGAATACCATGGAACACTACCAGAAAGCATTCCGTATACAATAGCAGCCCAAGGTTGAACCACACCTAGTAGTGTAAATATTGTAATTTTGATTAATTAATTAATTAATTAATAAATAATGAAATGAAATAGAAATAGAAATAGAGGCCAGAAGTAGCACCTGCACCAGGAGTAATGCAAGCAAGACCAGTAATCATACCCTGAACAGCACCAATAACAGAGGGTTTACCAAAGTAGAAAACATCAAGACAAGTCCAAACAAGAAGACTAGTAGCTGCAGATACATTGGTGTTCAATATAGCTACAGATGAAACTACATTTGCTGCATATGGTGCACCACCATTAAACCCAGACCATCCCATCCACACCAGCCCTGCTCCCGCAAGCATTAGCAGTATGTTGTTCGGTACATATCTTTCCCTGTCTGCTTTCAATCTAGGCCCCACCTGTATGTCGTCATTTTTTCATCCCATTAATTTCATCAATTAATTGGTAATAAATATTCAAGAAAGAATCAAGAATGAATTACGTACCCAATAAGCCGCCGTGAAACCAGAAATTCCAGATGCGAGATGAATGACGTAGCCCCCGGAATAATCAATCACACCCCAGTGGTATAGAAACCCACCTCCCCATAGACTGTAGGCGCCGACGGTGTAACAGAAAGTCAACCAAAGAGGCACAAACGCCATCCAAGCCTTAATGTTCATCCTCCCCAACACCGACCCCGCCAGCAAAATGGTGGTTATCGCCGCAAATGTGAACTGGAAGTAAACAAGCGTCGCCATCGGGAAAAATGGCTCGTTCATTTTGGTCTCCACGGTGCCGTTTGCGTAGTAGTGGGTGCTCTCCGGCACGGCGGCGCGTCCGGTAAGGTACTTCTGGCCAAGGGCAGGGGCGCCCTTTCCCCAGAAGGGTAAAAGCTCGTCACCGAAGGCGATGCGGTAGCAGAGGAGAACCCAGCAGATTAAGACGGCGGCGAAGGCGTAGAGGGCCATGAAGGCGGAGTTAACAGCCCACTTTTTCTTGACGATGCTGGCGTACAGTATGACGAGACCAGGCATCGACTGGAGACCCACGAGGGTAGACGCCGTCATCTGCCATGCGTTGTCCCCTTTGTTCAGCCATTCTGGTACCGCCGGGAGCCGTTCTTGATATGCCATTGAGCTCAGATTATCCATCAGTGTAGATGGAAATATTGGTACGTAGTAGTGGTAGGTTTGTGCGGTAATAAATACTACATCATCGCCATTCGCCGCGGAGGAGGAACAAGAATGTTTGAAGTCGTCTTTAGTCAAAATTGCACGATCAAGAAGCTTCGCGTGATATTATTGGAAGTTTTCTTCTCATTTACATTTTTCTTTTATTTTTAATAAGTACATGTATTGAATCTCAGTTAGTCCACACACGTTATAGGCCTTTAATTGGATAAAAAATAAAATAAAAAAAATACTCGGATGCCATTTGCATTATTCAACAGTATCAAGACAAATTTGCAAGTGTGGGGTCCAATCCAAGGCTTTGTTAGAACTTAGAACATACATATACAGCGGACTCGAAAGGTCTCCGTTAGCTTTTAAACAGCTGGAGTTATTATACAGATACTCTGCAGGGCATAATAATAATAATAATAATAATAATAATAAAATAGAGCATGTGGTATTATTTATTTATTTAAGTTGTCAATTGTCTGATCTAACTAACCACCACTAAATAGTTTCAGCCCAACTACACATTAAATTGGTCCAATCCCAATAAAATTGGAAGCCCTAAAACAACCATGATCGACCCAATCCTTCAAATCTTATCCAAAAATAAAACCCAATCCTTCATTTTTTTTCCTTTCTTATTTTAATTGATGCAAAGTACAGACCATTTGCTAATTATGTGGTCCTAATTTACCCAAAAATCCATTCCTCCATTGCATTTTTTTTCTTCTTCACCATCATCATCATCACGAACACCACCACCATCATCATCATCATCATCATCATCGCTTGTTGATCGCTACTATATATATTATTAATAATAAAACACACAAGATAACACTCTCACATCAATAATAATAATTAATATATGATAAACATATACATGTGTGGATATAAATAATAGAGACAAGTAAACCGTCAGGTCGAGTCTCTCTCTCTCACACACACACAATTTCACACACAGTCACACGCACACGCAGTATATGTGTGGTACTGCAAGTTGATATATAGTACAAAAATGTCCCATACATAAATGTTTTATTATATCGCCTCCACAAATTATCCATATCAATAGAGGAAGAATAAGTCTTTAGCTCACAGAGAAGACGCTAGATCTTTCCTCTTTCTATTAAGAATTTACACCTCAAAATATGTTTTGGACGCACAATAAATAACATATATACATGTATATATATAATAAGCAATATATATATGTATATATATATATTGGGGCATCATAATTTGATTAACGATAAATATCATGGGATTAATAATCTCATCAATATCGCCATCTCCATCAGAAACAGTAGTACTAAAGGAAGACGGAGACGGCGAATTTGCTCATGATGGAAAGATAACAATGGTGGTGCTTGTCTCTCTTTTATCTGCTTTTCTTATCTTCATCCTTTTCTTTCAGTTTGTACGACGTCGCTTCTACTTGCCAAACGTAACTTAGTGGCTACTACTCTTGGCTACCGCTAGTAGATCTGTAGTAGTGACTAGCTAGTGAGCAAAGGCGGCCTAAATATTTGCAATTATGCTCACAATTTAACATTATTAATTTATAAGTTGAATTTATCTCTACTTAATTAGTTTCTCCTTTTTTCCTTGCATGTGTTTGTGGTGGTTTGAATTGATTGAGGGAGGTTTTACTGCATTTTGTGGTCTATAATAATTAATCATTAAACTAGACAATAATCTATAAGGGTTGGACCGAAATAGTTGGTTGTATTTAATTCGTCATTACAAATAATCCTCAAGATTAATTATGCATCATTCATGAATCTTGTTCTTTACTCATATTAAAATGTGCCAACATGTTTGATTGGAATACTTATAACTAACAAGTTTTACCTCCGGATATAATCCCTTCTCATTAGATTTAGATCAAGCGAATTCACTTGTCATTATTGGAGATTTTTTACTTCAAGATTGTACAAATTTATAATGTATTGTTGAGGCCCATTAGCTCAGTTGGTTAGATCGTCGTGCTAATAACGCGAAGGTCGCAGGTTCGAGACCTGCATGGGCCATTTTTTTTTATACAGAATATGGTAGCAAACATTTAATGGAGATGCATGGGCCATTTCTTTTTTTTTTTTTACAGAATATGGTAGCAAACATTTAACATTTAATGGAGATGGAAAAGGGAAGAACAAGAATAGCATCTATATCCTGATCATGTAACTACATGTCTTGATGATGCTAGGAAACAATATAATAAGATATGAAGAACCTCAACATCTCACTAATATATATTATTATATATATATAATCGGAATTCATGGAGTCCTACGTACTAGCCTGTCTTGCATTTTCATTACATTTTCATTCAGCTTAATTCTTAAGCCAAGGAGTCCTACTAGCCTGTCTTGCATTTTCATGACAATTGTGTTAAGTACTTGTCTTCATCATCATCATCATGACCTTGCAGAATACTTAATTGCCGTCTGAATTAATGATCACCTCGTCATCAGTACATGCATGTTGATGATTCTATCTATTAGGAAACTATATATTTTATTACAAGATTAGGCAAGTAAATATATTAGAATATTGTGTAAATATTTATAGAGTAGTAATTAGCCGTAATTCTTGTAATTAGCTAATTTGTGGTGTCTCTGAGTGGCTATATTATGCCATATCAACTAATGAGAGAAACAAGCTTTTCCCATAATTTTATTTTCTTGATAATATGATTTCATCTATTCTCTCTCTTAATATGGTACCAGAGCCTTAGGGCATATTTTTTTCTTTTTCCGCTGCTACTTCCTCAAATTTTCTTCTTCTGCATATCTCATATTTCAAGTTATGGCCAAAGATGCAGAAAGCAAATCTGACCTTATCAATCCTACATCACCATACTATCTCCATCCTTCCGCGAATCCGGGTTCAGTACTAACCCAAATTAAATTAAAAGGTGAGAATTACTCTTCTTGGGAACAGGCTGTTAAATTAGCTTTAAGATCTCAGAATAAAATCGGGTTTATTGATGGGTCTATTTCTAAACCAAGTCCAACTGATTCTCAATTCGTCGCATGGGAGATTGTCAATTCCATGTTATGTTCTTGGGTTGCAAATTCATTAGACGACCCCATTCGGGCTACCGTCTCTCGTCTTACTGATATCAAAATCTTGTGGGATTGTCTCAAAACCCGTTACTCTGTAAAAAATGGTCCAAAAGTTTATAAATTGTGGTCCGATCTCACCATTACAAAACAGTCGGGGTCATCGATTATGTCTTATTATACTCAATTTCTTGGTATGTGGGAAAATCTTGCAACTCTGTCGCCGCTAGAGTCTTGTCAATGTGCAAATGGTTCTCCAATACTCAGTTGGTTTAACAATCTCAAAACCTATCAATTCTTAATGGGTTTGGATGAGTCTTATAATACCTTACGGACCCAAATCATTAATATGGAGCCTCCTCTCCCTGAAATCGATCGGGTCTATGCCATGGTGAGCCAGGAGGAGAGCCACAAGTCAGCATTCCAGCCGAGAGAGTCTGCTCCTGCCGTGGGGTTTTCGGTGCAAACGAATCACCCATCGTCAGCTCAATCGGGTCTTTCACCTGCTCCACCCGGTGGTCGACCACACTGTACTCATTGTCAAAGGTATGGTCATACCTATGACCGCTGCTGGAACCGCCTCGGCATATCTCCCACACCCCTCCGAGGTAGAGGTCGCGGCAAAGGACGACATCACTCTTCTACAGGTCGTGGACAATCTTCCCCAATGTTTGCTGCCTGTGGCGATCTCATCTGCTGCTGCAAAACGGACAATAGAATCTTATGATATATGGCACCGCCGGTTGGGTCACCCATCATCGAAGCCGATGTCGTTTTTGAGTATTAATGGCAATAAGGTGGATTTTTCTGATAAAAACTCTATTTGTGATATTTGTTGTAGAGCCAAACAAACTCGCTCTAGTTTTTCTTTAAGTACTCATTCTGCTACAAACATTTTCGACTTGATTCATTGTGATATTTGGGGCCCCTATCGAAAGTCTACCCATTCTGGTGCTAAGTATTTCCTTACAATTATCGATGATTTTAGTCGGGCAGTATGGGTATTTTTAATGCATGAAAAGAGTGATGCCAGCCTCTTACTACAACAATTTTGTTTTATGGCCAAAACTCAATTCAATAAACTGATCAAAACTATTCGAAGCGATAATGGTATGGAATTTGTCTCAAACACCATGACCTCGTTTTATGCTCAACATGGTATTTTTCACCAAACTAGCATAGTAGATACCCCACAACAAAACGGTAGGGTCGAGCGAAAACATCGCCATATTTTAAATATTGCTCGTGCCCTTCTTTTCCAAGCATCACTTCCAATAGAGTTTTGGGGGGAGTGTGTTCTTGCTGCTGGTCATCTCATTAACCGAACTCCTTCTCTTTTATTGCATGGCCTCACGCCACATGATAAATTATTCTCTCAATCACCTTCCCTTAATCATCTTCGAGTCTTTGGGTGTTTATGTTATACTCATTACAAAGATCGGTCAAAAGATAAATTTTCTCCTCGAAGTCGTCAATGTATATTCTTGGGATATCCTCATGGTAAAAAGGGTTGGAAGGTCATGGATTTAGAAACCCACAAAATGTTTGTTTCCCGAGATGTCATATTTGATGAGAATGTTTTTCCTTTTGCTCAAACCAATATTCCATCAACTGAAATATCCCCAAACTCCACTAACATCAATACTTGGTCCTGGAACACCTCTACGTTTGAAGAACAAAATTTTGAGTGTGAAGAGTCAGGGGGAGCAGCCCCCAACATTTCATCATTGTCAAATGTTCCTGACGAGTCATCCTCTTCTAATTTGGAGACCCAAGAGGAATCACAATTAGCCACGATCGAGCCAGCACTTGGTCGAGCTCAGCGATCTCGTCGCCCGCCTTCCCATCTTCGTGATTATGTGTGTCACACGGCTACAGTTGTACACCCCAAATTGTCTCACCCCTCATCCGGATCCTCAGGTACGCGGTTTCCATTAGCGAACTATGTTACCTGTGAAATTTTTTCTAAATCTCATTCTAAGTTTTTGGCTGCCATATCTGCCGGGATAGAACCCCGTACGTTTTCTGAGGCTCTACAGGACCCAAACTGGAAGCTGGCTATGCAAACAGAAATTGATGCTTTGGAACGCAATGGCACTTGGATCATTTCCGATCTTCCTTCCGGTAAGAAGCCCATAGGTTGC